AAATGGATTGACACATTGACTGTAATAGTGGGCTCAGGTAAATCAGAAATGATGAGGATGGCATAGAATAGGGCAAGGTTCATAGGGTTGCTATGAGTTATAGTTAACTTGATGGCATATAACAACAACAAATATCTAGGGACCATGCAGTGTTCCTTTGTTATGTTTGGACAAGTGCTTCCGTTCCATGTAAAGGTTTTTCATGAACACAATTAAGTGTTCTGGGATTTCCTTCTTCTCAGTATTATTCATAATTTATGTTCCAAATAGTCAAATGTCTTTGCTTAGGAAGTAAAATACAAGTAAACATAATAAAGACCATAAAAACTTGTCATTGGTAAGTGCCATCAAATTGACTATGACTCAAAGTGACCCTATGAATAATAGAGCCAAATCTTTTCCTATCCTGCATCATCCTCATGATCTTTTGGTGCTCAAGTCCATTGTGGCAGTCACTGTGCCAATCCATCTCATTGAAGATCTTCTTTTTTGATACCCCTCTACCTTTCCCAGTACAACATCTCTTTCCAAGAACTGCTTCTTGTGGTGGTGGTGGTGGTGATGTACTGTCTAGTCGGAAACTGGCCTATATCTGGCCCTCTAGCAGATTTTCAGAGGCAGTTAATCACACAGGAGGAGACTGTCCATCTTTCTTCCGTGGAGCAGCTGATGGCCTTGAACTGTGTGCCTTCAGGATTACAGCATAGCTTCTTACCACTAGGCCAACAGAGCTGCTTACTCCTGAAAATATGCCCAAAGTAAACGAAATGAAGTTCCATCATCCTAACCTCTAAGGAGCATTCTGATTGCACTTACGTCAAGAAAGATTTGTTATTTTGGCAATCCATGGCACAGCTCAAAGGCATCAATTCTTCTTTCTCTGTCATCCTATTTGCTGTCCAACTTTCAGATGCATAAGAAACTTACAAGAATATGGCTTGGATCAGGTATATCTTAGTGTTTAAACTGACATCCTTGGTCTTTAGAACTGTGGAAGGGTCACTGACAGCAGATTTGCCCAGTGTAATACAGTGTATACTTGGACCAGGAGGCAGTCTTCAGAACAGAGCAAGGAAACACTGCATGGTTCAAAATTGGGAAGGGCGTACTCCAGGGATGCATCCCATCTCCATACCTTTTCAACCTGTATGCAGAACTGATTATCTGAGAGGCTGGGCTCTACAAGGAGAAATGTGGGGTCAAGATTGGTGGATGATTTATCAACAATCTCCATTATGCAGATGACACTACCCTGCTTGCTGAAACTGAGGTGGACCTGAAGCACCTGCTGCAGAGGGTCAAGGACTGCAGCCTCCAGTATGGATTTAGGCTCAATGTCAAGAAGCTAAAGATTCTCACCACTGGACCAATTGGCAGCATCAGGATAGATGCTGAAAAGATTGAGATTGGTCACAGCTTTAGTTTGCTTGGCTCCACAGTCAACACTCTTGGCAACAGTAGCCAGGAAATTAAAAGGCATATTGCCATGGGAAAGTTGGCTGTTAGGGACCTCTCCCAAGTACTGAAGAGCAATGGTGTCTCTCTGGAGACTAAGGTGCATCTGATACAGGTCGTGGTCTTTGCAATCACTTGTTATGCATCAGAGAGTTGGATGATGACCAAGGAGGATAGAAGGAGAATTGATGCCTTTGAGCTGTGGTGCTGGAGAAGAGTATTGAGAGTACTATGGGCTGCTAGGAAAACAAACAGATTCATCCTGGAAAGGGTTAAACCGGGTGGCTCCTTGGAGGCAAGGATTCTGAGGCTCCATCTAGCATATTTTGGACTTGTTGTAAGGAGAGACCAGTCCTTAGAGAAGGACATCATGCTTGGGAGGTTGAAGGGACAGGGCAGGAGGGGAAGGCCCTCTATGAGGTGGATTGATCCAGTGACTGGGGCAATCAGAATGGGAGTGTCGGAGACAGTGCAACTGGCAGAGGACGGAGCAGAGTTTAGGGCTGTTGTACATAGGTTCGCTATGAGTCACAAGCGACTCAATGGCACATAATAACAACAACATCTTTTGATTTTTTTTTAATTTAGGTTGTTTATTTTTCATTTCAATGAACATCTACAGAGATTTTGGGATTCCATTCATTCATTGTTGCACCCTTCTCCCCGCACAAACCCCTCCCCCCTCCCCCCCTTTTGATTTCTTTTGACTATTATCTTCGCAATCACTTGTTATGCATCAGAGAGGTGGACAACGACCAAGGAGGATAGAAGGAGAATTGATGCCTTTGAGCTGTGGTGCTGGAGAAGAGTATTGAGAATACCATGGACTGCTAGGAAAACAAACAGATTTGTCCTGGAAAGGGTTAAACCGGGTGGCTCCTTGGAGGCAAGGATTCTGAGGCTCCATCTAACATACTCTGGACATGTTGTGAGGAGAGACCGGTTCTTGGAGAAGGACATCATGCTTGGGAGGGTGGAGGGACAGCGCAGGAGAGGAAGGCCCTCTATGAGGTGGATTGATTCAGTGACTGGGATAATTGGGATGGGAGTGTCAGAGACAGTGCGATTGGCACAGGACAGAGCGGAGTTTAGGGCTGTTGTACATAGGGTCGCTATGAGTCACAAGTGACTCGATGGCACAAAACAACAACAACATTATAAGAGTACAGAATTTATGTTAATTATGTAATAGAGTTCAGGTCTTTTTTGCAAAGCTTACTCTGAGTGGTATTCGACTCAACAACACTTAACCACTGCTAATTAAGACTAGTGCTGTTATATCCGGAGGAATATTCTTCCACTTTGCACATCACCCTATCAATGTGCTATATGAAGTGACCTGGGTTTGGTGTGATGCTGAATGTTGTGCCATGGGGATATCAAATGTCACAATGAGCTATGGAAAGGCATTAGATATTTTGTTCATAGAGTTGCTATGAGTCGACCTTGACTCATTTATGTGGATTATAATAAATTATGGATAACATTGCAAAGAATGGAAATTCCAGAACACTTCATTGTGCTCATACGAAACTTGGAGACCACAAAACAGAACAAGGGAATTCAACAGGATTTAAAATTGGGAAAGATGTACATCAGGGTTGTATACTTTCACCACATGTTTGAAAGGATACATCACGCTGGATCCTTTCAATATGTATGCTCAATAAATAATCTGAGAAACTGAACTATATGAAGAATGTGGCATTGAGAATGAAGGAAGATTCATTAATAATCTGTGATATGCAGGTGGCACAACTTTGCTCGCAGAAAAGGAAGACTTTAAGGACTTAGGTTATGAAACTTAAAGTATGGACAACACCTCTATAATATAAAGAAAACAAAAATCCCCACCACTGGGCCAATAAACAATACCATGATAAACAGGAAAGACTGAAGTTGTCATGGATTTTATTTTACTTGGAAGTAACAGCCAATAAATCAAATGGTTTATTGCACTGGGCAAACCTTCCACCAAAGACTTTAAAGAGCGCAAGAGCAAAAATGTCTCTTTGAAGATTAAGGTGTGCCTGATTTAAGCCATAAATATTTTCAATCCCCTCATACACCTGAGAAAGTTGTACAATAAATACAGAAGATGGAAGGAGAATTGATGCTTCTGAGTTGTGGTGTTGGTGAAGAATATTGAATGCACTGCCAAAAGAAAAAAAGCTGTCTCCCCACCCCCACCCCTTTGCTGTGTGCACCAAATCAGATTCCACTGGCACAGGAGGAGATTGTCCCTCCTTCTCCAGCGGAGCATCTGGTGGGTTCTTTGGGATTGCCGTGCAGCTTCTTTCCACTAGGCCACCAGAGCTCCCTTTGAGGTAAGCTAACAAACCTGTCTTGGAAAAGTATTTCTTAAAGCAAAGATGGTACATGTAAAACTTCACATACTTTGGACATACTATCAAAAGTCCCTGGAGAAAGACATCAATACTAGGTAGAGGGTCATTGGAAAAAAGAGGAAGATTCTCAACGAGATGGATTGGTAGAATGACTGTTAACAGTGGGGTTAAATAATGCAGAGAAGGTGAAGAAGGCACAGGATAGGGCAATGTTTCATTCCATTGCACATAGTGTGGCTGTGAGCTGGAATGTACTCGAAGGCAACAAGAGTGGCTGCGGCTTCTTTATAGCAACTTTAGCTTAGCTTGGTTCTTCTCCATGTTTATATACAGATGAAAAGATCCAATTATTACAGAATAGCTCCCACTTCTTAATAGCATTTCATCTAGTGGGAAGTCTTACATTCCCTCCCCCAAACTAAGACAAACTTAGAGCCCACATTTAGTAAATCCTTTCTATATACTCTTCCCACGATGCCCACTGCTCCCCGTGGTGGACATTCTCCCTCAGGGCCAGGAGGCCAGGCGTCTAACTTCGAACAGGTACGTGCCTAGTCTCTCGCAGGGGGCAGTGCCAACAGAGAGGTCTCCCTAAAGGGCAGCTACTATCATTATGCTTTCAGGAGAACTGCACGACGTACCCCAAAGTGTAGTAACAAATATTTTGCGGCTTCCCGACAAGCTATCTCTTACCGGACCATTTCTCCTCAGGAGACACCTTCTCTCACTCTACGCCTGTGACTACGGAGGAAGCCGCCTTTGGTTTCCGACCTCCAAGAGGAGATGCAGTTCGTTAAGGTTCTCATCAACTAGAAACACTGTTCTTCCCTAGAACACGGTACTACCACAGGTGGAGGTAGTAGCATAAAAGCTAAAGTCCCAAAGTGTTCATCTTATTATTGGATGTTTTACCCATTCCAATCTAAAAGGAATGGGTCTCGAAGGAATCACTAGTAACTGGAACTTGTCAGGACGCCATCCCCTCAGGCCGGCGCGCACTCTGACCTTCCAAGTGCAGTTTCTGAGGAAAGACGCGCATCTTGCAGGCGGACTGCAAGTCCCAGCATGCCTAGCGCGTCGGCGTCGCCTAGTAACTTGAGCATGCCGGAGCGCGCGCGGTTGGCTCTAGTCTGCGCCTGCGCCTGCGCCTTGGCGTCTCTGCGCATGCGCACTTCCGTCGCTGGAAGGAGGGGGTGGGGTGTCGTCCCTTTCGCTGATGCAAGAACCTAGTGCGGTTGTGAGAGCGATATCTGTAGGAACGGCGTTGCCGCCAAGGCCTGGGTCTGAACCATCTGACTTCCTGTCCGTGTCGAGCCCACTCGATCTGCAGCCATGTCGGGGGATGAGGTGAGGCTTGAACCTGGGGCTAAGGACTGAGGTGGGGAGCCGAACCCTCCTCAGTGTGGGAGACCGGGCCTGCGGCCTAGTAGCCGGCAGCCGCCATGTGGGGCATCCGGGCCTGTGTGGTCCGAAGCAGCGGAGCCGGTGAGGACTCTGGAGCCACCAGCTTGGCCGCACACCACACTCAGGGCGGCGGCGGCGGCGTTTAGACTGGCGTTTCCGGAGTGTGGAGCGACTCGCTCTGACGGGGCTTGATTGCTCACTTAGCGTGCGACTGGCGACCCCTGCCTTCCTTTAAACTCTAACCCGACTTGTTGGAGCCTGGGGGTCGGAGAGGAGTCCCTGTCGGCTCCGAGGACGGCTCCCTCGTTAAAAAAAAACTTTGTAGATTGTTTGTCCGGGCCTGTATCCTGCCGTAGTTCTTATCTCGAGTGTTAATTCTTAAGGAGTAGAGGGAGATAAGATGAGAGGGAAGAACTTTCAAGCCCTGAAACTTTTAGGGCGGAGAGTTCCTTGAGTTTCCTTATCTGAGAGCTCGCTCAACGTGAGCGGGAAGTCCAGGCTTCGAAACTGCCTGGATCTTTTCTTACAAGCGTGCTTGCACCGCAGCAAACTTCTGCAGAGCACTTTTTGCTTGCTTTTGACCCAGTGCTTGTAAAAATCAAACGACTTTAAAAGAAAATCAACTTCTTAAGTGATAAGTAGGTATTGAGAACCACTGCTTACACCCAAGCTTCCTCCCTCCACTCCTCCGCCTAAAATAGCTTTTATGATTCACTTCTATAAGCATTTGCGTTTAGCATGGAGGAAGAGGAGGGTTGGGTTTTGAGGTATGGTGTTAAAATTTACTAAGGCACCAGAAAGGCAGGCCATCAGATATTCCCTGTGATTTAGAACGGCCAGAAAGTGTGTTCACATGAAGTGGAATATACTCCAGTTTGGTTACTTAAGAGTGATGGCTCGAAAAGCAGGCAGTGGGGTAGTTTATGAAGGGGTTTGAGGATCAGGCTAAGGAATTTTAGAGAAACTGAGGCTGGCAGCGTTATGTCCATTATATAATGCCCAAGGTCCACTAGCATGTGAAATTCTAGATCAGTGAACTATTCATTTAGGTTAACTCTGGGAGATTGTCACTAGTTTTAAGAAAGAAACAGAAGGTGGGTCTCAGTTGGAGGGGGTGATAATCTTTGTTCTGGGCTGTTTAAAAGTTCTGAGAGTAACAAGTGTTTGGATTTGTCTGATTTGTTTCTCTCTATTACCTCTTTCAAGCTTTCTATACATTTAGCAAATTCAGTGCTTAATGGAGTGCAGGAATATCTTGGAATGTTACTTGAGTATGATCCCTATGATAAGGTGCTCACAGGACAGTAGGAAAAGTGAGGGATAAAGCTGCATTCCATAGCAGAAACGATTGTTTGCCACAAGGCTAGAAATAAGGCCATCAACATAGCTATTTGAGGCAGCTGGAGGGATGATTACTAATGTTGGGAGTCAGATGTTGAAGGAGTAGAATATAAGCATTATGGAAGGATGAACAGGATTTTTACAAGCATGGATGGCCTGCCAGTGAGGAGTGTGGCGCTAATAAAGTATTAGAGCAGCTTGACACTTCTCAGGTCTGCCAGTACAATTTTACACTTGGGAAGCTAGGATCCAGGGGAGTTAACTTGCCCAACATCGCATGGCAAGTTAATGGTAGGTTATGACATTGGGTTTTCACAGTGTAGGGTTATGGCTATAGTACAGGTACTTTGCAAATGAAGCCTCTAACTAAAAAAGGGATTATGTGCCATAAAAAGATTATTAAAAAGAATACACAGTGAAATAAATATGCCAGAATCTTACCATCCAGAAATGATAATAACACTGTTGTCTCAACATCTTAAGAATGTCTCAGTCTTTTTAAAAGGAACTTTAAAAATAAATGTTGGGCTTTTCTGAGTCTTTGTAATTCACACCCACTTTTTTACTGTGATATGGCCATAAAGTGGTTTCCTGGATAAAGCATGATAAGAAGTAGTCTTCCATATCCAACAAAAAAATTGAAGATGGAAACTTTGTGCATTTGAAGAAGTTTTATGAAAACATAAACTGACAACTGATGTTTTCTTCCCTTTATTTATAACAATGTTAGATGCAGTATTACCCATTAAAACTGTCACACTTGGTGGGGCAGTACCAAAGGGAGTCTGTAATTTTTCCAGAAGTGCACTGTCAACAACTGTTTACTTTGCAAATCCAGACGAATCTCATAAATGAGAACGTTGTAACTTAGACACATGATGATTTGGAGTCAGAAATTGAGGCTTAAAGCCTTTTTAGTTATGTGTGGCATGCCTTGTGGTGACTTTGGGCAAGTCTGCTTTGAGACCATAATTTTTTATTGGTTTCCTTAACCCTTAAACTCTGTAAAGCCAGTATGAGTAAAATAAAATGGTAAGTGTGTGTGTGAAGCATCCAGAACACGAGAGAAATGTTAATTATTTCAGTGTATGAGTCCTGCCTGTGTACTAGGTAACAAAGTGTTGCTCTGTAAACCTCAATCATGTTTACAAGGGATTAAGAGAGACAGTTATGAGAGTGTCCTCTTATGATTTCAGGATCCCTCCCATCTGTGGTTTGTCTTACTGAATAATAGTTAAAAGGTAATCAATATTCCAGGGAACTTGATGCCTGAAAAAATAAATTGCAAACCTTAACAGATGGCTGATTTGTAGCACTTGGATTGCTGTCTATCCTTCTGCCTAATCTTCCAACTTCAGGAATGAGGATGAATTGTAGCTGCCTCCCAGGAACAGTATTAGTACTATTATTTTTTTTTAATGTGTGTGTACCACCATCAAATCACATCTGACTGGTACTAAAGGAGATTGTCCCTCCAGCAGAGCGTCTAGTGGATTCGAACCGCGAGCCTCTGGGATTGCTGTGCAGCTTCTTGCTACTAGGCCAACCAGAGCTCCCCAGACTTTTCTTCTTGGCTCTTCTATCTTAGAAGAGATGACTCTCTAAGTTTACTGGATAATATTCAGACTGACTGCACTCAGAATTACTTGTTTATACTGGTGGATCATTGTTAAGGTAGGAAAGACTACAATTTTTCACAGATATTTCTGAATTGATGAGAACATTAACTACTCTACCTTTTTATAGACAGTAATTTGGTTTTGATATAACTCAGTTTCTTTAATGTACTTGGAACATAAATTTAAGTTAATTAGAATCCATTTTGTAAATTTTTTTTAGTTATGACAAGTTTTGGAATTGGATCATATGAGTTTATTAGCTTTCAATGGTAGGACTCATGGGGTCATACTTTATAAACTGAAGTATTATGGACATTATAATACTTGCTAACTTCCCCCCCCCAACACTGCGTATTTGTGTGTCAAGTACTCAGCCAAATATTTTCATTTTATTAACTCATTTAATCCTCCCAATAAACTTCTGTGGTCAGTTTGGTTTCTGCTATTCATCTCCATATCCACTTACCTGGAATAGTTAGGAGCCAGAATCAAGATTTTAATGCAGTCTGATGGGCTCTGGAACATTGCACTTTTGACTACACTGCAGTAGCCAATCTTTGGACAAAATGCCAAATTTAAGCATGATAGGATCTGAATGAAGATTGATTGCTAAGGGGTTCTAGGGGAAAAAAAACGAGTTTTTATCTAATTCTTTTTGACATTTTTCTAGACTTTGGCTTTAAGGTTATAACTTTAAAGATATAAATGAGTTTTTCACTTTTTCTATAGTTGTTATTGTGTACTGTGAAATTGAAACTAACCTCCAAGTTTTCAGAGGCAGTAAATCACATGGGAGGAGACTGCCCATCTTTCTCTCGTGGAGCAGCTGGTGGATTTGAATTGCATACTTTTGGGTTGCCAGTGTAACTCCTTACAGCTAAGCCACCAGAGCTCCCTTTTTATAGTAGATATGTGAAATAGAGCTTTTTGCAGATCATCCTTGTGCGGGGGCCATATTGATTTTCTCTGTATGGTTCCAATTTTAGTATATATGCTGTCAAAGCGAACACTAAATAGGAGAACTTTGAAAAGGCTATCTTAGAGATTCCTGTATGAAAGGCTACTGATAGATTTCCTTGTCTGGATTTTGGGATTTAACAACAAAAAATTTCTTTAAGAAATACTTTAAAAATTAAAAGGCATATATATGCTTTTCAGCCACATAAACCCAAATTTTTCTTGTTATTATGTGTGCTATTGAGTCAAAGCCAATTCCTAACTGACCTTCCAGCAGGTTTTCAGCAGCAGTGTATCACACTAAAGGAGATTGCCCTCCTTTTCTCGTGGAACAGTTGGTGGGTCCGCACTGCATACCTTTGAGGTTACAGTGCCCTGCTTAATACTAGGTCACCAGAGCTCTTGAAATGTTTAATATACAATGTGAGTAAAGTTAGATGGGCATTTGGGGGGGGGTAAAAATATCTTTTTTGATATTTAATGCATCAAATGTTCTTTTTTTTTTTATTGTATTATTTTTATGTGTACCGTCAAATCAGATCTGACTGGTACAGGAGGAGATTGCCCCCTCCTTCTCCAGCAGAGCATCTGGTGGATTTGAACCGCATACCTCTGGGATTGTAGTGCAGCGTCTTGCCACTAGGCTACCAGAACTCCCTTCAAATGTTCTTACTTTTGAGAGTATGTATTTTGAGGATATTTGTGATGTGACCATGTTTTTGTCTTTCAAACAGATGATCTTTGATCCTACTATGAGCAAGAAGAAAAAGAAGAAGAAGAAGCCTTTTATGTTAGATGAAGAAGGAGATGCCCAGACAGAAGAAACTCAGCCCTCAGAAACAAAAGAAGTGGAGCCGGAGCCTACTGAAGACAAAGATGTGGAAGCTGATGAAGAGGACAGTAGGAAAAAAGGTAAGGTGGTCGCTGTTGTTACTGAAACCTGAATTTCTCTTTCATTAATGTTGAATTATATGCTTGCAGTAACTTGTCAGCATGATAGAACTGCTCTGCTAAATCAAGACCATCTGTGATTACTGGACCTTGCTATACTTCTGATAAGCTTGTTCCTGGTAAAATCCCACTGAATTTACCAGTTGCAGAGATGATGAAATGTTAATCATTCCATGGCTGATTTTTCAGTCTAACCTGTCAGGTCACTTCTGCTTGGATGGTAGTTGCATTTGAATGTAGACAGGAGAAACTGACCCAAGACAGGCAGTTTTGTGTCTTGGCAGGTCTGAAAAATGTATGTTGTTGTTGTTGTGTACCATCAAGTTATAACTGATCCATCGCTGGTCCTCCAGTAGTATTTTAGAAGCAAGAAATGCATGAGATGAGATAGCTCCTGTGGAGCACCTGGTAGATTCAAACCATGGGCCTTGGGGTTGACACCTCTTTACCATTAAGCCACCAGAACTCCCTAAAAAACGTATAGATGAGCTTATAATGATAGCTTAAAATGTTTAAGGTTGGAGATCAGTTTTGTTACTCACATTTGTGCTTTAGCATGGGGAAAGATAATATTTTGTAAATATCTGTGCTAGGAATGGAGAGAACATTTATTGAGTATACCGTGTGCTAAAGGTGCTCTAGTGAGGTACAGGGTAATGTGTTGGACTGATAATTAAAAGGCCACATGGTTTGACTCCACATTCTGTGAGAGAAAGGTGAGCAGTTTCCTAATATAAAGATTTACAACCCTTGGAAACCTGTTGCAGAGTTGCTCTGAGACTTAACTATTGTTAGTGGGTCTAGTATCATGTGCTAAGTCTCTTGTATATGTTCAAAATAAACTTGGCAGGGAAATTATTTTTCTTATATGAAACAAAATTGAAATAGCTCTTTTAAAAATTTTGGACCTAAGAAACCCTAAATATTATTAGGGTACAATAAGATGGAACAGAAACTTACAGAGCAGAATCTACTGGTAGTTTACAGTATTATTTATTGTGTAGCTTTATTTATAAGAACTTTTTTTGATCAGTTGGTTAGTTCAGTAATATATTTAGTTACTATAAAGAATTATGTGAACAAGACTTAACCCTTAGTTTCTAATAAGGTGTTAGACAAGTAAACTAATACGCTCCTAGGTCAGGTGAGTATAAGGTATCTTGAAAAAACATCTAATTAGCTGGTGAGAAGGAAGGGTCCTGTAAGATGAGGGTAACTACAGCATTGTGGAAAGGTCCTATGTGAACACCAACAGGTAAAAGATCACACTGCATTGAGAATTGGAAGTAGTTCAGGGACTGACCTAGGAGTAAATTGAATGAGGGAGCAGGGAGAAGTGGAAAGAAAAAGTTGAAAGTGTTTTAGAAACTGTGTTAGAGCCTTGACTTTGGCTTGAGGGCAGTAAGGAGCTATTGAAGACTTTTTAAGCAATGAAATGACCTGTGCTGGTTTTCTAATTTTCCCACTGTAGTAGTCCCATGATGGATTTTTTCCTGCTTACAGAGCTTTCGGCTCATCTGCCACTGATTTCCAGAACCATAACTTTTGTAGATGTGGCAGATACACTGTTTGAACTTAGTAGCTGATAATGTGTTGGCTTGATACTTTATTTCTGCTAGATGTTAACTGATACCCCTTACCTGCCTCTTCTAGATACTTCTGATGATCTAGATGACTTGAACTTTTTTAATCAAAAGAAAAAGAAGAAAAAAACAAAAAAGATATTTGATATTGATGAAGCTGAAGAAGGCATAAAGGTAGTATTGAATATTGGCTTTCATGTTGGAAGTAAAATATATCCTCTTGAGAGGTTTCTGATGGCTGATGTTTCTTCAATGTCTTTTGTCTCTTAACTACCTTTACTTTTTGATGTTAAGCACTTAATCAATGTTATGGTAATTTTCTTTGGAGCATATCCAAATGAGAATTATACATAGATGATGGTTCAAGGAATGTAAACTTGTGTTCATTATAATGTGTGCCTTCAAGATAATTATAAAATACCTGTGTACTTAACTATACTGGGTGTTTGGGTGGTGGAGAGTTCTTTGAGTGAGAAATGCCATGTTGTTGTTGTTGTTGTTGTTGTTAATGTCGCCTGTGACCCATAGCACCCCTGTGTACAGCAGCTCTGAACCCTGCCCTGTCCTGAGCCAGTCTCACTAATTCCGACACACCAACCTCCATTGTCCCAGTTATTTTATTGGTCCATCTTGTCTGGGGTCTTCCTTTCCTGTGCTGTCCCTCCACCCTTCCAAGCTTAAAGTCCTCCAAGCACCAATCTCTCCTTACCACGTGCCCAAAGTATGTGAGACGGAGTTTCAAAATCCTAGCTTCCAAGGAGAAACGTGGTTTCACCCTCTCTAAGACATACCTATTTGCTTTCTTGGCAGTCCATGGTATATTCAAGACTCTTCTCCATCACCACAATTTGAAGGCATCGATTCTTCTTCTGTCATCCTTAGTCATTGTCCAACTCTCTGAAGCATAACAATAATTGCAAAGACCATGACCTGTATTAGGCACATGTTAGTTTCTACACTGACATTGTTTTCAGTACTTTGGAGAGGTCCTTGACAGAAGATTTTCCTAGTGCAATCTGTCTTTTGTTTAATGTCCTGACTACTGGTGTTAAGAGTGTCGATTGTGGAGCCAAGCAAGGAGCTGGAGTCAGGAGTCAGAAAATTAAAAAGGGCCAAACTTGCTCAGCATTTCTTAAGCTGAAGGAACTGAAGAACAAGATTCAAGCCATGAGTTGTAATGCTTAAGGATGCTGTGGGCCCAATAATGATTCAGGAAGCATTAAAAAAAAGATGGAAGGAGTATACAGAGTCATTGTACCAAAAAGAATTGGCTGACACTGAAGAATTTAAAAAAACTACATATGATCAAGAGGCAGTGGTGATGAAGGAGGAAGTTCAGGCTGCTCTGAAGGACTTGGGGGAAAATTAAAGCCCCATTAATTGATGGACTACCAGTTGATGTATTTCAACAAACAGATGCTGCCCTGGATGTTCTCACCAAGTTGTACCAGAAAATCTGGAGGATAGTTGCTTGGCCAAGTGACCGGAAGAGAGCTGTATTTATTCCCATTCCATAAAAAAAGGTGATGTGGCAGAGTGGAAATTATAGAACAGTATCACTAATATCACACACTAGCAAAATCCTGCTTAAGATTATCCAGAAATGACTGTAAAAGTACATCGACAGAGAACTACCAGAAATACAAGCTGGTTTAGAAGAGGACACGGCACTAGAGACAGTAGACAGTATTGCCAGTGTCAGATGGATCTTGGCAGAAAGCCAAGAGTACTAGAGGACTGTGGATATTTGACTGCAAAAGCATTTGTGTGGATCACAACAAATAGTGGCTAACCTTGAGGAAAACAGGAATCATAGAACATTTGATTGTGCTTATGTGAAACCTATACTTGGACTAGGAAGCAGTCCTCAGTACAGAGCAGGGAAATACTGTATGGTTCAAAATTGGGAAAAGAGCTCATCAGGGATGCATCCTGTCTCCATACCTTTTCAATCTATATGCAGAACAGATTATTCGAGAAGCAGGGCTTTATGAGGAGGAACGTGGCATCAGAATTGGGAGATAGACTCATCAACAAACCTACATTATGCAGATGATACAACCTTTCTTGTTGAAACTGAAGACCTGAAGCGCTTGTTGCACAAGGTCCAGTATTGTAGTCTTCAGTTTGGATTGCAGCTTAACATCAAGACGACAGATTTTCACCACTGGGCCAATTTGCAGCACCATGATAGATGGAGAAGAGAAATTTCATGGAGTAAATAAATACTCCTGGCGGTTTCTTCTGTTCGCTTGTTGACTAAACAAACTTCAGTGTGTGACTCTGAGTATTAAAGAATAAATCCTAGCCTGTAGTGGCTGATGAAAGAATGACTTAGGCAAACTAGAGCAATCAGGATAGTTTCACAGTCTGATTTTATAGGGAGTTATCCTGTTCTTGTTTTCACTTACTGGTTTAGTTCCTGGTATTAATAGCACATTTTTTTGTGGGTAGGTAGGTGAATAGGAGGGTGGGTTTAAGGAGGAAGAAGATGGAAAGAGCAAGGAGTGGAAAGTCTGTTTTTCTCTATACATAGGTACCAGTTTATACAATCTGCTTAGAAGTAACTTTAGCAGAGCCCAGGATAATAAGATCATAGCAATCATATCCATATATTATGATTATGTATACATACATACGTCCATGTGTATTTTATGTGTCCATACATATAGAGAGAGCACACCTGACTGTCCCATTTTGTGTCTTCTCCCTAAGTTGGTGTGGTGGTGGTTTTTAAAAAGAGGGGTTTCAGGGAGCTCTGGTGGCCTAGTGGCAAGAAGCTGCACTGCAATCCCAGAGGTACACGATTCAAATCCACCAGATGCTCTGCTGGAGAAGGAGGGGCAATTTCCTTCTGTACCAGTCAGATCCGATTTGACGGCACACACACAAAATAATAAAAGGAAAAGTTGGTTTAAAAAAAATAAAAAGAGGCGTTGTTGTTCTTTTAGCCAAGTTTTTATTTGCTGATTTCTTTGATTTTAAATACCCTTCAGTAGTATCCTTGGCTGTGAGATTCTTAGCTCTAATCCTCAATAACCAAATAACTGGGACTATCACTTTACTGGGCTATTTTTCTGTTTTACAGAGGCCTGCCCACTCCCTTAATTTCTTGTTGTCATCAGCCCTAATCAGATTGATTGATCTTAAGCACAAAAAGCCGCAACCAGCTTGGCTTATACAGGTTCACCACAGTTGGATGTAAACACATAATGATGGACCTGGCACTTGTCTAAGACTTGAGAAGCTTCACCAAATCCACATGCTAGGTCATTGTAGATGAGGGAGGTCTTCAGCACCTCATATAAAGCAGCATTAATATCCATTATCCTTCTACCAGCAATGCATTCTTCAGCCATGCAATGAGTAATGGATAAACTGAATCTTGATAGCACTCCACCTTTGTACAGTTTGCCAGGAAAAAGAGCCCAAAAATTTTCTTTGTAAATAGCTTATTTGTTGAACTCCAAGTAGATAATAGTGCACTCCATGTATGTTGTTGATTGCTATTGAATCGAGCACAACTCATAGCGATTCTGTGAATAAGACCTGAAGCTTTCTTATTGTTTCTCAAAGTTCATAGTTTCCAGAGGCATGTTGTTTAGGAAGAGGATGCCACTCCTGCTTCCAAATACAGCAGAAAATAAAGAATATCTTTGGGTTTTAGAAACAGTGTTAATACTGGTAACTGGATTAATGCCACAAATATTTGTTAGTGACTAAAGGGAACTCTGGTAGCTTAGTATAAAGGAGTTGTGCTGCTGACCCAAAAGCACTGGTTTATTTCACCAGCTGCTCTGCAGGAGAGAGAAGGATGGTCTTCTCCTATGACATTTATTGCCTTTGAAAACCTGCTGGAGGACCAGCTATGAATCAGTTTAGACTCAACAGTACATAACAACACAGGGAAACCAGTATGGCATATATTAATTACTGAACTCAAACTCAACCACTGTCTGTTCTGACTCATAGCAACCCTCCATTGGGTTTCTGAAGCTGTGAGTTGCAATAGGAGAGGACTGCCCATCTTTATCTCAGGGAGGCTTGGAGTTCCCAGTGTAACTTGTTGCTAACTTCACCATCAGAGCTTCCTGCTAAGTGTTAAAAGATGCTGAAATTAATATTTTCAGAGATACTTTGTTTCAGATAATTTTTAAGAGTCCTTTAAAACACAATTTTATATGGATTCATTTTTTGTTGTCTGCCTAGGACTCTCTTCCTGCTACTATTGGGAAATTGAGAGAGAAAAATGCTCAAATTGTACTGAACAAATAGGAATTAAATTACTGGTAACAAAATGATGTGTCAGCTGTGTGTCACAAAGTCTGATTAACAAAACATTGTTAGTAATTATTTTCAATTCCTCTAGTAGCTTTTGTTCTAAAGAGTCCAATGTTAATAAATTCTGTGCTTGTGGTATTTTTTGTGGTGGTGTTTTTTTTTTAATTGCACTTGAAGTCATAAAGGGGTAAGACAACCAGAATTCAAAAACCACTTTTGTGATTCTGTGCTTTTGATTGTATTGGCCTTGGTTGAGAATAGGGCTCTGAGCTGGTTTGGTCATGACCCAATGGTAAATTGTGTAAAATGTGGGTCTACTGGAATGATAACTCAAATAGGGAGAAATGGGTTTGAAGCCCTTGAATGGGAGACTCAGAAGAGAGAGACTTTGTCTTCTTTTAGAGTATTATTCTTTCTGTTGTGGCCCAGAGGGCAACTAGTCTTGAAGCCAAGCTTTACCTTATCCACATCAGTTTGTCTGGTATATATTTGTCCTAGGTTATATTTCCTTTAAACGTTGCCACATATTGAAGTGATTCCCAGAGATTTCCAGCAGTCAGTGCCAGGCTGATTGCATCAGAATTACTTAGAAACATCTTTAAAATATTCCAGAAATAATAATTTAGAATCATCTTTTAAAATCATTTAGGATTGTCACTCAGAAGATTTGAGTATTTCAAAATTTTACCAATTCTGAGGGTAGCCTAATTTGGACACATAAAATGCTCATGAGATCAGGGATGGTCCAAAAGTGGAAAAAGTTGAAAAATGTTTTGAGGAATTTGTTTGTTAAATAGCTGTGTCTCTCTGAGCCATTTTGGTCCACCAGTGAGGCATTTCTTATTTGTAACTTGAATTTGAATGGCTGAATTTTGTTTCCTTTCAAATGATGGTGGCTCTTGTAAATTTCTTTAAAACCAGTTCCAGTATCAAATGGTAATTATTGCCTTATTTCTTAGGATCTTAAGATTGAAAGTGATGTTCAAGAGTCAGCTGAACCAGAAGATGACCTTGACATTATGCTTGGCAATAAAAAGAAGAAAAGGAAGAATGTCAAGTTCCCAGATGAGGATGAAATACTAGAGAAAGATGAGGGTAATAGAAGAAGTTCAGTAATTCATTTCTAGCTTACTTGGGCTTTTGGCCTCTTCTTTTTGAAGTGAGATAAGTTTTTTATTCTTTCTTGACCTTTATCCCTATGACTTGATAATGGAAAAGGGAAGGAAAATCATGTCTAACTTGATAATGACAGTGTAAAATTTCATGGGGGGAAAGAGTGTTGCAGTTATGGTTATATTAAAGCTTAGTATAAATTTAGCTTACTAGGAGAATTACTGTAACTGAATTTTAAATAATGTTTTAAAAACTTTTAAAATGTTTTGTTAAAAATAAGGTTTTACTACTTTGTAGGTGCTGAAGTTTCTTTAGAGAACTATAGTGTAGCTGGCAGATGGTTTTTATGGGTGTGGATGTCTCTTAAGTGCTTCAGAACCATTTGAATTTTCCTCTAATCATCCTAATGTAGTATTTTGTGTTTGTTAAATCAAGAAACATTTCACTTTGTCTGTGTTGTCATCACAAAATCCTAATATGAAATGTCATACATAACACCCCACCTTTTAAGAGGGGAAAGGGGCTCAGCTTGATATCTATTCTTGTGGCTGTCAATTGTGCATGAGTTTATAGGAGAGAAGGTAAATGTCTTGGAAACTTTTAGTATCTCTAGATTTGCCACCATTATTTGGTACTGTAGGAGGGCCCACCTCTTGTTCTTATCATCTTCATTATTTGCAGCTTTAGAAGATGAAGACAGCAAAAAAGATGATGGTATCTCATTCAGTAATCAGTCAGGACCTGCTTGGGCAGGCTCAGAAAGAGACTACACATATGAGGAGGTAAGACAATTCTATTTGGAAGGGAGCTAATCTATTCACTAGAGCTCAGGACAATGAGATAAATGTGTTCCCCTCTCTCTGAAAATAACTGAATTAGAAGGATCACTGAAGTAATAATAGTGAACAGACCCAGAGTGGTATGTATGGTCTGCAGCCAGTGAGCATTTCCTGATGTCCACTGTGAGCAGAATTGTGGTGGTAACTGTATTTTACCCACTGTCTCCATCTGAGGGAGCTCTGGTGGCCTAGTAAATAAAGAGTTGCATTATCTACCTAAAGGCAGGTGATTTGAATCCTCCTGCTGCTCCACAGGAGAAAGACAAGTCAGTTTTCTCCTGTTTGATTTATAGGTTCTGAAAACGTGTTGGGGGAATCAACATGAGTTGATTCTGACTCGAAGGCAGTGCACTATGAGCAAGTCCCCATTTGAGTCAACTTCTGAGGGCAGGGAGCTCTCTGGAAGTCATGGGGGCAGTCATGACAGAAAAGGGCTAATTTGGGGCCAGAGTATCATAGAGCTTGCTTATTTGCATTTTCCTGAGTTTTTCTTTTCCACATGATACGCACTTGACCACAGAAGCATTTGTTCTTTTAAGTTTGAACAAGGAACAAAAGAGCATCCATAGTGTACCAGATCCTGGTTGAGATGGGGATTGTAGGATGGGGATTGGTTCCCTGCCCTTAGGAGTTCCTCACAAATATTGTGATGTACATATTTATTTAATATAAAGTAAAATTTGTGTTGACAGATAGATGTTGTTAGGTGCCATCAAGTCGTTTGCGACTCATAGCGACCCTATATGTCAGCCCTAAACCCTGCTCTATCCTGTGTCAATCGCATTGCCTCTGACACACCCATCCCAATAGGATAAATAGACTCATGAAAACTATATTGTTCCTGTTAACTTAAAAATATGAACAATTACCACTTTATCTCTATAGCTACTGAATCGAGTGTTTAACATCATGCGGGAAAAGAACCCAGATATGGTTGCTGGAGAGAAAAGGAAATTTGTCATGAAACCTCCACAAGTTGTCCGAGTAGGAACCAAGAAAACATCTTTTGTCAATTTTACAGATATCTGTAAACTGTAAGTTGGTTAATGAAAAAGGCTCCTTGCCAGCTGCTGAGTTGTTGACTGAGTTTTAAGCATCCTTTATTGTGAACTTTATTATAGGTAGAAAGAAAATGCATAGGTACAGGGATTGGGTTATAAGAGGTCACAGTTCAAGTCTTGTCAGCTTTTTTGAGTTAGAAGTCCCTGGGCTCTGTGAAGGTATTAAGAGGGGGCAAAATCTAACATATGCTGACCCAGGATAGTGGATCCTAATCAAGTGGCTTGAGGAGTGAAATGCTGGAGAGCTTAGAGAGGTGAGAAAGCTCATCAGGCGGGATGGGCCTGGTCATTACGCAGTGACCTCTGCAAAAATAGATGAATTTGGTGTGCCTCTTTTTGCTGGCCATTTCCAGAACAAGAGTTCTATTTCCAGTGTCTTAGTCACCATCATAGTGTATGTGTGCATTTCCCCTGGATGGACCTGGTTTTTCTTAAAACACCTGCTGGCAGGTTAGTTAGAGCATCTCACCTTATCTATTAATCTTCTGTTTCATAAGTGATTGATGCTTGTTGCAGAAAAGGGGGGAATCAAATGGTGAACAAGTGATAATTAACCTAAATCCCACCATCCAGAGATAATTTTTTCTCATTACTTTATAGACATTAACTATATATAAACTATATAGACTTTTCCCCTGATTATCAATGATATACATATGCTCATTTTTTAAAAAAAATTAAGAGAAATGATGGTGCATTCACAATGGAATACTACCCAGCACACAGAAACAATGATTTTGTAAATTATTACCTAAATTGAGAGAGCATTTTGCTGAGTGTATAACTCAGTCCCTCAAGGACAAGTATTGTATAAAAGCATTATTGTAGGATCCAAAGGGGGGGAGGGTGGAAGCAGAGGGATGAGGATCTGCCGGGGTTGGGGGGGGAGGATTAATCATGGAACTGTATCATTTGATGGGGGTGAGGGAAATTGGAAGAATCTCTTCTGGAAAACTATTTTAATTTTGTAAATAGACTAGTATAAAAAAATTATAAAAGATAAAGCAATGAAAAGGAAAAATCTTCTATAATCTCCCCAGTGACATAAATATAGTTTAATACTTTGTGCACATATTTAATTAAGTAGGTATTATTTTTATCCTTTTAAATTATTAAACTTGTACTTATCCCATTAACTATTTTTCATAAATGCTGTTAATGACTACACATGGATTCTGACAGATCCTTAAAAGTTGGATGTGGTTGTCCCAAGTTTTCTTTCATTAAGAGACAAAATGTCACAGAACATCCTTAATGTATGTCTTTGCTGAGTCTTTGGGAGATATTTGCAAGCTGCTTTTCAGAAATGTCAGCGCTTAACATTTTTTCCAACCCTTACCCATTGCATTTGAGCAAAAAATAACTGTCTTTCAAATTGTAATAGTATTTATTTGTTAGAACAAGTTCAAATAGTGCTAGAGCATACGGAATTTTAAAAAATAAAATACTGATTGGCATTGCTCTGTATTTGCTTCTTTATAGAGAGAAAGATCCACCTTGTTCTCAAAAGCAGGATTATAGGCCATTGTATAGATACAACAAATTCATTTCACCAACTTGGTGAACATTTATATAGTTTCTAGTTTTTATATGCTGTGTTTCCATGAAATATATAGAACATATTTAGGAATTAGTGTACCCTATCAACATGTATATTGACATTTGACCCATTTGTTTCAGATCTTTGTATTCTTTAAAAAAGGAAAGTGGTTACAGTTAAAATTAGTCATGTTTTACCACTTTCTGGTCCCTTCTTTTCTAGAGAAATAACATTATCTCCTACACTTATTGTTTACCTTTCCTGCACATGTTCCTAGTTACTCATGTATATGTGTGTATATTATTAAATAATGTATTATTTTAATAGCTTTAGAGTGCAAATAAATGGCATAGTTTATATCTACCCCAAAGTCTGCATTGTACTGAGATTCACCCAATAGCTGAGTAATCAGATTAAAACCATGTACAGGATGGATTTTTAGAACCATGGTTGTATTTCTAAGAAAGATAACCTTTTGGTATTTTCTTTTCAGATTGCATCGTCAACCCAAACATCTCCTTGCATTTTTATTGGCAGAACTGGGTACAAGGTAAGAAACTATATTCACATTTTTACCTATTAATAGGCATTTCATAAGAAAGGATATGTACTGTGCATAGAAAACACCTAATTATAAAAAAGGGGGCTTGTGAGAGGCAGTGAAGGTGTGAAATCATTTCTCTGAGAGAACTTGGCTGATTAGGAATAGGTACAGAGTTGAAACTTCTGAATAGGTCCACCAGTCTACGAACGTGAGCGCCATGTCACTGTCATATTTAAAGCTTGAGTCCGTTTTAGAATTTCTTTTTATTGTGATTTGAGTGAAAGCTTACAAAGCAGGTTTTCTTAAAAAAAAAAAAAAAAAAAGGCGGGTTTTCCAATTATTCATATACATTTTTTCATAGAATTAATTACAGTACCCACCAAATTCCTTCCTCCTCGTAATTCTTATTTCTTCCTGACATCAGGGCTTTATATTGGGCAAATACTGCTCTTGACTTTATGTAGCTGGTTATTGTAAGGAGTGAGTACTTCTTTGGTGGTATTGGTTATCTTAAGGGGGTCAGAAGTTAAGACCTTCATTGAGATGGACTGATGTGGTGTACAACAATGACCTTGAGCAGGACTGAGTGTGATGATGGCACAGGTTGGGGCAGGGTTTTGTTCATAGGGTTACTGTGAGTCATAGTTGACTCAGTGGCACCTAAAACAATAATAATAGACTTGTCTGTTTGACTGCAGTTACAGGGATACATCTTGTTCTATGCTTAATGGATGGCAGGAATGGGGGGTAGTTTCAGCCAACTCTTGGGTCTCTTAATTGAACAAATGGTAGAAGTTTTCCAGTTTTAGAGGATGTCAGAAATTTTCTTAATTTAAAACGGCTATTAAAACCGGCTTGTAAGTTGATGAGTGATGTGGGAGAAACCATTGATTAAATCACTACTTTCCTTGTCTTTGTGGACTTACTCCACATATTCATGAAGGCTAGAATCTTGTGGAGCCTGTCATTATGAATTTGATCACAGGAGCTAAGAAGTCCCTATAAAAATAATTAAGGTACTTAATGCTTAATAAAGAAGGAGCTTAGTGGTAAAGAAGTTGTGCTGCCAGCCTAAGTTGCTTCATGGGATAAAGATGGGCACTCTCCTCCATTGTGAATTATTGCCTCTGAAAACCCACTGGAGGGTCAGCTATGACATTTTACAACAGTATGCTTAATAAGATAATAAAGACTAGCACCAGTAGTGTATGAGGCTGTGTGTTTTGGTACCATCTTAATCTTTATACTCTTCCTGTGAAGTAAAAACTATTACTCCTCTCTTTCTTGAAGATTTGCAGCAGTCTTAAGTTCCTTGGAAACTGGGGTGATTCTACTTTGTCCCATAAGATTGCTTTGAGTAGGAAAGTTGGAAATAATTCTGGTTAGTAACTTTGGTTGTGGTGTATAAATAAATTCTTCTCTGGAATTTTAAATGTAATTTAAAAAAAAACAACAACAAACCAACTTGTAGGAACTAATTAAAGAGCAGAAGTTAGCAGTGATTTTCTACTATTCAGAATACTTTTTTAAATTTTATTATTATTAATTTCAATGAACATCTACAGAGATTTTGAAATTCCATTCATTCATTGTTGCCCTTTTCTCCCCACCCACCCCACCCCCATATTCAGAATAATTTTTATAGGGATAGATTTTAAGATGTAACCAAAATACTTATGGTCAGTGGGTTAAATATTACAGGAATCCAATATTAGAACCATCATAACCTGTAGATGCGTTAAAAGGGGATAATGCTGTTAAACCACATTGAAGAGGCTTCTAAATATTAAACTAGCAGAGTGAATTTTGTTTTCACTTGCTGATATGCAGTTTTTAATAAGTGATAATGTCTTGCCTACAGCTTTGCTTTCTCAAAAGTACTTGTCAGTAACATCTTTTATAAAGTTTCTCATTACGTACTACTGACAGTTTGTGGCCTATAATTTTGGAGATTTTACGTTAACAGCTTAATTGAGGTAATACATTTAAATGTATTATTCTGTAGTTTTTAATATATTTTATGTTATTTCATCACTACAATCAAACTTAGAATGTTTTAATCAACAGTTCTTACCCATAGTACAGAGAGTAAAAGTTTCTTTTCCTTTCTTCAGTCAGTGATCTGATACCATTAAAGAGTCACTTTGTTTTGTACTTGAAAAGCCTATAAATCTGGCTGTGGTCACTGAATAGATTGGAATTGGATTAAATATTGGGACATTATATTCACAGGCCACCAAGTACCAACTACGATTACTCTTGAAAAACAAGCCACATAGAAGCATCCTTGTAGAACTTTTCCTACAACTTTGAAAATCTTTTAAATTCCCTGTATTTAAAAGTCTTAGAATTTGGTTCCTTACAGAAAATAGAATTTTAATGGAGAAATTTTAATTTTCTTTCACAGTGGTTCTATAGATGGTAACAACCAACTTGTAATCAAAGGAAGATTTCAACAGAAACAGATAGAAAATGTCTTGAGAAGATATATCAGTGAGTATAAATGTTGTCAGAGTGCAGTCTGTGGGGAAAGCCATTTGTTATTTCATAAGGTGCCTGGAAATGTTAGCTTTGAAAAGATAGGTTAAGTGACAGTAAAAAGTGAAGTGACCCTCTCCCACTGGTTACATGTCAGTGGATTGATTCATATTGCTAAACCTGCCCAACAGACAGCCTGCTGGTTGGTTCCAGGGTCGAATGCCAGGTCAGAGAAATGTGTCTGGTTTAGGCATGGATTGATTCCTTTTGTTCTTTTCCTAATCACTTAAAATGGGCATGTTTGCTTCCATCTGGGAGGGTTAATGAGTTCCATCTCTCTCCTCCTGTAATGACAGAACCAGGAGTAAATAGCTAGCAAGCTTTACTTCCTCATCATTCAGTTGGAATAATTTTTAACCAATTTTTTTTTTTATATATCTGAAGTTCTCTTTCCCTGGTCTGGGTATTCACATAATCTTTTTCCCCCTTTGCATTAGTTGGTAGTACTCAGAGGAGGAAACCTTTGCAGAAAATAGAAACCTCTGGCTTCATGGCCACCAGATAATGCTGTTTGTTGCTTTTCCTGCAGAGGAATATGTCACCTGTCATACGTGCCGATCGCCGGACACAATTCTGCAGAAGGACACCCGACTTTATTTCTTACAGTGCGAAACTTGTCACTCTCGATGCTCTGTTGCCAGCATCAAAACCGGCTTCCAGGCTGTCACGGGCAAGCGAGCACAGCTCCGTGCCAAAGCTAACTAATTTGCTAATCACCACTGATTTTCAAAGTGTGTTGTGGAGATTTGGCTGGACAGGTTTACCACCAGAGTGGATATACCATTGTATTAAAAGCAAGATAGAAAAGCTGCCAGATTCTTTGGCATGTGGTTGGTTGGCCTGTGAAATCCTTGCAAGATGCCGATGCTCAAGCTGTTGACATACTCATTGCCTACTTTAACAACTGTCAGAGAAACGTGATGGGGTAAGGAGGTGCTTTTTTAAAACCGTTCATAGACTTCTGTAAAATGCAAGATAAATTAAAAGTTATTATAACAGTGATTCTTTCAATTTGGTTTGTCCTTTAGTTTTCTTTATATATAAAACTTGTGCTTGGTGAATTCAGCAAAAATAAGTTTGTGCCTGGGCTCTGAAGAGTCTATCCTTGTCCTGAGAAACTGGACACTGGCAGGCACTTCAGCTGGGCAGCCATTTTCCTTCTCAGTTTCTCTTGAGACACAAAAGTAGACACTTGTTTCACATAACGTGAGCTGAGCATAAGAACCAGGACGATGATGCGTTCTCAACGTCCAGGTAAATGAGTATATAGATTTGAATTTTTTAAATTTTTTTTTTTTCATTATGTGAGGCTTATTGCTACTACCTCACTGTCCAGTTCTCCAGCTTTTACCACATGAGGGAATACAAGGTGCTAGGTACCCATACCCTCACCCTTAGGATTTTTTTTCCCTTATTGGCTACTGAGTCTTACAAACATAACCTCTTGAGTGTGTCTAGTATCTGGCACACTTCAAACAAAATATCTGCTTGGGCATCCCTGTTGATGTTGATGAGATATGCAGTCCAGGGGACTCTCCTGAGAAGAGTCCAAATGGCGATAGGCTCCTTCTTCCCTATTTTCAGTCCTAGGTTTGGAAACGGCCCACCACAAATGCTTTTCTATGTTCTATATTAAAGTAGCTTTTGAATGTGACCATGAGAAACCAAGAGATTGCTATCTGTGCGGTGCCTCCAGTTCTGCTGAGGATTTGGCCAAAGGGGGTATTTATCCCTTGGCGCACAGGGCACAAGATCTTCTGTGTCTATGCTGTGGTCTGCCTTGCACGCAATTCCTGAGGATAAGGGCATACATGCTATTCTCACTTTCTTATTGCTGGACTGTTATTCCTAAGCAGCCCAGGAGCAGTCATGTCTGCCTTGAATGTCTTGACTGTGGTGTTTTTAATCACTGTGACCCTTAATTTTAAAGTACACGCCAGTGCTGTAAGCACCCTGGCCATGAAGCAGTGGAGGAAGCATTCCTTCAGCCCAGTAAGTGCTCCTGAGGGGTCAAACTGGCTGAGCTGCCACCTTTGCCGCAATGAGCCTGACTCATGTAAGATCCCTTTCTCCTTTTTTTTTTTTTGTATCTATGTCCACACAATTCCCAGTTTTACTGGTAAATCTTTTTGTTGTTCTCAATTCAATTGAAAACTATCTGACAGCACTGCTGAGTGAAGTCCAGATTTCTGAAGGCATTTTTGAGTTTGGAGAATGAGCTGTAACAAATGTTGGCTGTTACTGCGTGAATAAAGCAAGGATCAGTGCCTCCTGTGTAATTAGTACTCTGTTTTGTATGTGTGTGTGTTTTCTTTCTTAGTGCGACCCGCTTTAGGGAAGGAAGACATGGGACATATTTGTGAACACGTAATTTTCTTCATTCTTAAAACTTCTCAGTATTGTCAGTGGAGATTCAATAATGAGCACTGATGGCATACTCAATAGTGTGTTAATGCTTTTAATCAAATATGTTTAAATCCACCAGTGGTTCATCAGGTAAATGGACAGTCTCCTCCTCCCACAAAAGTATATAACCTCAGTTTTAAATAGTTGCTATGGATCGGCATTGACGCAATGGCAGTGAATTTTATACAGAAAATAGCTTGTTACTTTTTTAAAATTTACAATAAAATTATTTTATTTGTACAATTAAATTTCCATAATATATTACTTTGAGACTTTGGTATTTTATATAACAGTATAGACCTATTTCTAAGACTGGTACACAGGCTAGACAAAATACACCAATTCTTAGCTGACCTAATCTTTTTCTTTATTAATTTTAATGAAAGTTTACAGACTTTGGATTTCCATTCATTCATGGTTGCACTTTTCTTCCTGCCCACCCCACTCCTCTAGCTCAGTCTTCTCTTTGAAAAGTAAAAATAAAAAAGTCTTTGTTATACTATCCTTCCCCCCCAAGTCCACTCCATAGCCTTGGCTTTTTGCTCTTAAAATGCTCATGCTATGGTTTGCCCTCTGTTTTTCTCTGTAGTCTCCTACCCACCACAAGCCCAATGGAAAGGATCTTGCTAAAGAGACAGAAAGCAAAGGAAGTGAGGATTTCTGATCAAAAACTCTGTTCTTCCCCAAGTATTTTAGGAAAGTGTTGTGTATTCATTATTTTTTTAAAAGGGTTAGGTGTTTGAAATGGGAAAATGGAGCTGACTGATTTATATGCTGATATAAATTATGTAAACATGCAGTTATGTCTCTATCTTCAGAAAAACCTGACCTCATTTCCTTCATTTATAGAAAGGTTTAAAAAATACCCATCTAAAACCTCTAAAAAGCTTTTCCCAAGATGTCCACTCCTAAACACAGTAATGTTTCTCTCTTGCCCTTTAGAAAGCAAGTTTAAATTGAGATGATGTTGTTCACATGTATCTCCACTGCTAAGGTAGGGACTTGTAGGCGGTCCATAAAAATAAGTGTGTTATCTTCAGGTACTGCTGAATTAACTCAGATTCATAGTAACCCTATGTACAATAGATTGAGGCCTTGCTGATCTTGTGCCATTCTCACAATTTCTGTTATACTGAAATTGATTGTTGCAGTCACTGCCAATCCACTCAGTCATCTCTAGCCTTCCACCTTTCTAAGCATGGACTAAAGGACTGGCCTCCCCTTCTAACACAGTCTTATAGGCTCAAAGCCTTTATGGAGTACCATGGCTGCACTTCATCAAGACAGATTTGCAGAATTTGCTTAACTTTGTAGCCTCTCTTCCAACTCCTCCCTGTTCAAACCACTTATAGGATAATCTGCATAGACACAGATTGAACACTGGAAGAAGTACTAGGGTTTCTGAGGCCTCCCTTCATCTAGGCTTCCCTGTCCAGACATGCCCCAGCAATAACTAAAGATCCACATTTGAACACAACACTTTGAAACATCAGTTTGGAAGTTCAGCTTTGGTAAGATGGATGTTGATGTATGATGGGAAGAGTCAGCAAACAAAACTGAGTGCACATAAGTCAAAGCTTGTCACAAAAACCAAAGGAATTTCAAGAAGAGTCATTTGTGACAGTAGGGCTGGAAGGAGAGTACACGCCCTTCTGCCTCTTCATGTGACCTTCGGCAAATCATTTCAACCGTACCAATTTGCCAGGAGACGGCATGACATAGAGCCTCTCTATGTCTGCCAAGCAGCACAGTCAACACATAGGCACATAGTCAAATCCACTAGCACCTTGGAAGACAGACAAGGAGTCTGCCCATGTGGTTTACAGCCTCTGAAAACCTGTTGGAAAGTCACCTACACGTCCATTCCATTGACTCTTCATGGTATTGTTTATGTACAGCAGGGTTCTGATGTACTAGTTTGCAAATCCACCAGTAACTGAAATAGAAGGGCAGTCTCCTCTCATGCCATTTATACTGGAAATTCAATGGAGGATTAGCTCAGTCTCTTCTGATTCCATGGTAATGAGTTTTTCATTATAGCAGAGAGCTCTGATGGCATAGTGGCAAGAAGCTGCACTGCAATCCTGAAGGCATGTGGTTCACGTCCAGCTGCTCCATGGGAGAAGGATGTGCAGTCTCCTGTGCTATTAACTAACGGCCTCTGAAAACTTACTGGGCAGTCAGAAATGGGTCGGTTCCAACTAGACAATAAGAACAACAAATGAGCTCTGGTGGCCTAGTGGCAAGTTACACTGCAATCCCGAAGGCAAGCAGTTCAAATCCACCAGATGCTCTGCTGGAGAAGGATGATCTCCTGTACCAGTCGGATCTGATTGGATGGTACACACAAAATAATTGGGGGAAAAAAAAAAAAACTAAACTGTTGGCACATTGCTTTAGCATGCTGCACCAAAAAGTAGGTGATTCAAATTCCTCAGAACAGTGGACAGTCTCCCCCCATTACAATTCCCTTAGCAATCTAATAGAGGGTTGCTATGAGTTGGATTTGTTAATAGTGGGTTTGGGTATATGTACAGCAGAGAGCTACGTATGTACCTCATCTTAAAATCTACAAAAGGTAGAGTAAAATAGAAAAGTGAATGATAACTTGGATTTGCTTCAAAATTAATTTAGCTGACCAAACCACACATTCCATTTTTAAAATACTTATGGGTGAAGATAGCTCATCTCTGGTTTTCTATAACACCCTGTGTGGGCAAGGTGATGGACAGAGCAATGAGTGGGAGCGGGGGTGAGGGTGGAAGGGACGCTGCATAGAATCTGGGGGATGAGTATCAGAGAATGGGTAAAACATGGGTCCAGGTCAGGGAGAAAGAAGGGATGATTTATTCTGTTGCATCCAGAAGAGCCAAACCACATTTGCCCAAAGAAGCCCCACCCCTAGCCCACCATTCACGTTCACGAGCACTCAAGACTTGACCCATAGTCACTGATGGACGTGACCGTAGTAACTCCTAGGTTATGGAATGCAAAGGGGCCTTGTCCTCCCCTTTTGCCTCATTCTTTTTCTCTTAGTAAGCTGCCTGAAATAATTTTTAGCTGGGTATAAATAAGCAAAGGAAATTATGGTCTCTGGTTTCCCTAAAGGAGATTTTTTTTAAAAGTCACCTAAATCCAGATTGGATTAGGTAATATTAAGTGCTCCCAGTAAGTAGTTTCGTGTTTTTTCAGATGAGGAAAAATGAAGCTCAGTTTTTACTCTCAGAGGTTTTTCCTTTTTCCTCAGGCAAGCCACCCAAATTGTCACATACAATTTGAGTATAGATACCATAAACTATTAGTTTTCTTCTAAAGCAGAGCAAGCTACTTAACCTCTCTGAGGCTATTCGTTTTGATAACTGTTTGACATATAATAAATACTCCAAAACTTTGTGGCTTAAAAGAACAAGTTATTTTATTATTATCCCTCTTGGTATTGGTGTTTGGCTGAAATCAGCTATGTAGTTATTACTCCATTCTTATGTAGTCAGGTGGTGGCTAGGACTGAAGTCATCTTGTAGACTTCTTCACTCAGGCTTCCTCATTCATATAAATGTCAAGCAGTCAATACTAACATTCAGCTGGAACTACACATG